GATGACATAAATGTTGTCGCTGTTAAGGCTGAGGATATAAATATTTTTATGTTTTATATTGCGCACCCTAATACTAATCATTTGGCCATAATTAAAAATTTTCTTCTGTCAGTGAGTGGCCCATTACTTGTAATGGGTGACTTCAATTGTCACCATTATAGATGGGGTTCCGATACCTGCGACAACATAGGTAGCGAGTTTGTAGAATCTATCATAGATGAGCTTAACCTATGTACCATTAATGACGGCAGCCCAACCCGTAGATCTGAATTTGGGCAAAGAAGTAGTTGTGTAGACTTAACCTTCTGCTCACCCAATATGGCAAGCGTGCTGAATTGGAGCTGTTTGAATATGACCTATGGTAGTGATCACTATCCCATAATAATCAAACACCTCTCTAAATCTGTCTCCGATAAATCCCTCCCCCCTCTCTTAAAATATCGATTAGAAAAAGCAGATTGGGACCTGTACTCTAAATTGTTAGATATCCGCAATTCTTCCCTCCCACGTATTGATATTGAGAATCCTTTGGAGTGTTTTTCAAAGTTTTCAGAGCTGATATCTTCTACAGCTGAAGATTGTTTCCCTGTGAAAAACACACCAAAAGGCAAAATCCCCTCCCCTCCCTGGTGGGATAGTGAATGCACTGCCATGATAAGAGCCAGGCATATAACCGAGACATGAGCCTGGAAAATCTCCTTAATTTCAAGCAGGTGTTGGCTAAGTCAAGGAAACTTTTTAAAAAGAAGAAGAGGCAGGGGTGGCAGAGTTTCTGTAGTTCCCTGAGCCCATCAACACCGATAACAACAGTTTGGCGGAGGGTGAAGAGCTTCAGAAATTCCATAAAGCCTACTTCTATTTCTATCCTGCCTGACGGTCTGAGTCACAGTTTCCTTACTAGCATTGCCCCTCTGTACGTTCCTGGCGAGGAGGAATGCTGCGTGGGACATTGTAAAGAATCGCGTGACCCGCTTGATGGGAATTTCTCCATGGATGAGCTCCAAATGGTTCTAAACCACGTAAGAGACTCCGCTCCAGGGATTGATGGGTTCCCTTACTCCTTTTTGTTGAAAGCAGGAGCCAAAACGAAGCAGTACTACCTTGACTTAGTCAACTTCTGTTTTACTTTCGGCTATATTCCTCCTACCTGGAAGGTTCAGGTTATTATGCCGTTGTTGAAAGCTGGCAAAGATCCCGGTGACCATTCGTCTTACAGACCTATTGCCCTATCGTCCATACTTTTAAAAATTTTAGAACACCTTATAAAGACCCGGTTGGAATGGTCGATAGAAGGCCGGGGGCTGTTTCCGGCGACTCATTTCGGCTTCAGGAAAGGTCTGGGTACGGCTGACAGTGTGGGTACCCTCACTTCAGCCATCCGACTGGCCCTTGGCAGGGATGAGTCGTTGGTGGCGGTCTTTCTGGACGTCTCATCCGCCTATGACTCGGTCCTCCTACCCCTTCTCAGGCAGAAGCTGCAAGAGCTGAGAATCCCGAGTAGGATTTGCCAAATTATAGGCTGCATCCTTTCCAACCGCACCCTCCAATTGAGGACTCCTGGGGATGAGCCTTTACAGAGAACATCCTGGAGGGGCTTACCTCAGGGGTCTGTCCTTAGTCCCATCCTGTTTAATATCTATACCCACGACCTCCCTTCCTGTCTAAATTATGATTGCAGAGTCCTTCAGTATGCTGACGATATCGCATTAATGGTCACTAACAGCTCTATAACAGATGCTACCACCTCCATGAATGTCTCTTTGTCCTCATTACACCAATGGCTTCTCAATCATGGGTTGTCTTTAAGCGCCCCAAAAAGCTCAACTGTTATTTTTTCCCGCAGACGTCGTCTTCCAGACATTCACATAGAGATAGACGGTCAGCCCATTCCAGTTATGAGGAAGGCTAGGTTCCTGGGCGTCATCCTCGATTCTAGGATGTCGGGGGTAGATCACGTAGAAGCCGTAGTTAGAAGATGCGAGCGTTCAGTGTGTGTACTCAGAGCACTAGCTGGGGTATGGTGGGGTGCTCACCCTTACACGCTGAAACTCGTATACAATGCATTGGTCAGAAGTGTGATGGACTATTGCTGTTTTCTTATGGCGCCCTGCAATAAGCAAGCACTTAAAAAACTAGATTCCATCCAGGCCAAATGCCTAAGAATAATTATTGGAGCTATGAAGTCTTCCTCTATAAACGCTCTTCAGGTTGAATGTGCAGAGCCCCCCCTCGACCTTCGAAGACAATACCTGGCAGACCGTTTCGTTTCTAAAGTCCTGACCCGCTCTTCTCATCCCCTACTTCCTATCCTTGAGCAAATCCATTGTTCCTATGGTTCTTCTCCATATTGGAACAATAAACCTGTCCCACCCGTGATTGTTAGGTACAGGGAGCTTAAAAACCTCTCTGCACCCATCAGTCAATACCCTATCCTTCCGGTTTTCTCTTCCGCATATGAGGTTATTCTCTTTAGGTCAAAGCTGGTTCTGAGTTTGGGCATTTCAAAGTCATCAGTGGACGCCAAGGGTGATTTTGAGCGCGCGCTGAGCAATTACTGGCACGGCTGGAATGTGTTTTACACGGATGCATCCAAATTATCCCGAGATGGATGCACAGGAGTGGCAGCATATTTCCAGAACTCAAGAATTGCTCTGCTCTCCAAATGTCCCCCTGAAGCCTCCGTGTTCACTGGGGAATGCGTTGGCATTCTGGAGTCCATCAAATTTATTAAATCGCACAACCTCAGCAACTCAGTTATCTTCTCAGATTCTCGAAGCAGTCTACAAGCGCTCGGTCAAGACCAGCTTTATTCCCGGACGCATTGTAGTCTGATAATAGAAATAAAATCTTTGCTATTATCCTGCCAAAGAGACGGACCAAATATTGAGATCGCATGGGTTCCTGGCCACTCTGGTATATGCGGTAACGAGTGTGCTGACAGATTGGCAAAGTTTGCGTTTGTTTTAATGTTGAACGTCACCACTATATTGTGTATGGGTATGACATACGTGCCGATACTAAACTCAAGCTCTTCGACTCGTGGGCTACAGTGTGGGCGGACTCCTCTAAGTGGAAAGGAGCTTACTATGCAAGTATCCAGACCGATATCCAGCGGAAACCTTGGTTCTCCAAGCACAAGAAACTCCCCAAACACACTGTTTCGTCTTTGTGCAGACTCAGACTCGGCCACCTTACTAGCCCGGTATTCCTCGCCAAGATACGCGTACGTGACAGCTCGCTGTGCGAATGCGGTCTTGATGAGGGTACCCTAGACCATATATTTTTTTCATGCCCTCTTAATTCCCAGTCCTTTTATAACACCATTTCAGTTATCTCCGATTCCAGAAATAACACTTAGAAAGACTCGTAACAGAGGCAGAAAGGCTTGTAAATCGACATCGCTGACTTCATCTCCATACAAAAACGACTTGAAAGTCTCGTTAAAGAAGAAAAAAAGAAAAGACTAATATGGGAAAAGGCAAAAAACAGAAAGACAAAGCTAAGGACAACAGAGGTGAATCATGGATACAATGGTTTATGTTGTAAGCAATGGGCCCATGAAGAATGCTCAGGAGTGGAAACTGATATTTTTCTCTGTGAGTTTTGTTCCTCAAAATAACTTGCGCTTAATTGTTTGTTCTGGTGGGTAATATGGCTCACGGATTTTACGGCCAATATGGCCCTAGGCTAGCAATATGGCTAGGCTTTATTATCCTACCAGTACTAGATTTTGTATATGTTCAAGTTTAAGAAAAACAATATTTTTAGTTATTCTGTGAAATTATATTGCCATTAAGTTTCTAGTTTATGATAACTGATTAGTTGGATGACTTATTAAACAAAAAAGATTGATTGATCTCATACTGCGAGTTTTATTTTCAAAAAGGCTTATGGTGTGCCATAATACCCGAAACTACTCTACGTAAAAAAGGAGTTTCGTTTGATTTTAGTTTTAAGTTTAAAAGAAAAGTTTTATTTTTGTTTTTATGTTAAGTTTATCGAGAAGAAGTTTTTGATTGTATCACCTTTTGGTTTTAATAAAGTATCTTCTTAACTTAAGAAGAATCTTAAGACTGATTTGACATTCGATTTTATTAATTAGGTATTTCACAAGATTTATGATAATAATCAAAAATTATTGATTTACATTAAATCTTGACATACCTATTAATACTGAGATACAAAATTCTTAAGAATGTAGGGTGTCCGACCTTTTTACCCAAATGTGCGGCTAAACAGGCTGGTCTATCCGGCTATAAGGCCTAGCGACCTGGCAACCCTATCTGAGAGTGAGTGATCAATGCCATCCATAGAGTGATAAATACTGGTGTATAATATGGTGGCCTTTTAAAAAGGAGTGATTCTAATGTAAAACAGTTAGTCTAATTTTGTCCAGAACTACTATAATAAATATATATATATATACTCATCCAATGCTCTTTCTCATTTATGTTTACATAACAATATTTTATGAATCTAGCTAGTAGTACAAAGTTAAAGGCATTTCCATTATTTAATTTTGAGAAGATATTATTGATGATCTTACAATAATACTATTATCATTCTAGCTTTGCTGTCTATGTCAAGAAAATTGGTATTCTTGGTCAATTATATAATTGCACTTGAAAACTAAATTCTACAATATATTCTATACAAAGAAAACATACCTTAATCAGAAGAATAGCCAAGTGATGTTCACAAGTTGAAAACTTTTTCTAAACCAGATTTCTATAAATGACCATGACATAGTCTGACCTTCATAATGACTACATAGACATTTTTAATATTGACCTTATCACAAAGTAGTTTGTCTATTAGATCCTTAGTCTATTGGTGTAATAAATGACTAGTTAGACCAAAATATTTTATGCAGAATAAAAGTCATATCTTTACGATCAAGGTACATATTATAGACAAGTGCTTGTTTCAGCATACCTATATCAAGTTCCTGACAAACCCAAAATATCTGTAACATAGCCATTACCTCAGACATTGTGAATTTGTGAAACAGAGGGCCCTTACTCAGAGTTTTCATCACTAGAGCTGTAATCACCAACTAAGGACAATTTTTTTGTCTCAACTTTATCTATGGTAATACTGCTGTTTGTAATAGTTGTTGGAGTAGTTACTTCATCTTTCTTTATATTTAAAATATCTATCTTCTTTTGGTCATCTGTATTCTCATATTTGTTAGGAACTTCACTTAATTTTATATCCTTACAAATATCATCTTTTAGATCCTTACTTTCAGTTATAAGGTTATCTTCTATTTTGGAATATTCTTTAGAATTACATTTTTTATCTTCTGTACTATTCTTCTCAAGAATTTTACTTCTTTTTAGTGTTATACCAAGGCCTTGTCTAGTGAGCGAATTAGATTTAGACAAAGATTCTTCTTTTTTGAGTCCCCCAAAGCTGGTCAAAAGTCCAGTAGAACTTGGCAAAGCTGGTGTATTGAGGGTCTTACTTCTAGTTTGAGTTTGGGACTCTTCAACACTCTTGGAAGGCCGCAGAGAGAGGAGTGACGCCATATTCCTGTCATCTTCATTTTCTGGTAGAAGACTTATGTCTAAAGAAGATTTAGCCAATAGTAGGCTGTCATTCACTGATGATTCTTCTAGTTCTTTTCTCCTTTTCTGAAACACAAATGAGAAATATTTAATACTTTTGTTATTTCACATTATGTATAATAAATCAGCACTACAAACATTTTATGTTATGTAAGTTAATAAGGTAAATTTTTTATTTCTATATTTGTTGTTCTTGTTTAGATTTCAGCTCCTTCGAGGACTATAGAGTAACAACTACAGAAAAACAATATTAATTATAATCTGACTCAAAGCACAACTTACCCTAAAGTTCCTCCTTAAAGAACAATTAGCTTCATAGTCATCCTTCCAAACTGACTCATTTCTACCGACCAGCCTCCCTAGCCTTGGATTATCAAGTTTCGCAGTTTCTTCATCCCCTGTCTTATGTTCCAGCTTGAACATGGCATCATCAAACAGTTTCTTCTGTGTTTCCTTAGTTTCCGGTACAATCTGACCATTGTCTGTAGGGTCCCATCGATTCTCCTGTCTTCTAGCCCCTGATACAATCACATAGTCTAAATTCTGAAAACGATAAAGGAAACAATAAAGTGCAAGTTCATCAGATTTGGTTATCAGCTACTTCTAGGTAAGCTATTATATTAGTTAACAGATTTAAGTGAGAACATTTGAAACATAAAAAGTACTACCTACCCCTGGATCGGTTTTGATTTCAAAATGATTGTCACACAAATGACACTTCATTCGGAATTGATACACTGGAGTTGAGTAGTACATTCCAATCTTGGTCTTCTCAGCATTGTATCTGACTCCCATCCCAATGTGGTTCTTACATCCTTCACACCAGATGTTATAGGGCATCTCAAAACGGATGATCAGGATCCCCATATGAAGTTTCCTGGCTCTTTCTCGCAATGCGTGTGTTCCCATGAATTTGTTCAACCCCCCGACCTTAGGGTCATAGTCAGGGGGATAATAAAGATTCTGTCCTTTGCGCTCACCCATTTTTCGTTCTGCAAAAATTAGGAAAAGGTTAGAACAACGCTGATATAATTAAAAACAAAGTTATCTACATGATATTGAATTAATTTAAAGTCTCTTGTGTATTTTATGAACTGCAGTTACCTGTTGAGCAATATAAATCTTAAGTAGAGCGAACTTGTCTCCTTAATTATATTAAAATAGTATTTTAATGTAACTAATTTCACAATCCCACAATAAAAATCAACAAAATTACAAGTTTTGATCTGCGAATAGTTGTCAATGTCAACTTGTAACTTGTCATACGAAAAAAAATCAAAACAAACCACAGCTTAAAAATGTAGGAAATTAATTTGTCAGTTTAGAAAAAGGGTTAGATCCGAAATGTATTAGATCTAAAACGTGTTATATTGTACGTTTCAAGTTTGTAAAAATATACTAAAATTGCCGTATTCGTAAATCACTGTATAAACAAGTCAGACCTTAAAAGCTACTGGCAGGAAAATTATGCGACTAAAACCTGCAATTATTGATAAGAGCTAGACATAGACTAAAAGAAAAGAAAACCCTGGCAACTCAGTGACAGCTGTTTGACAGTCCCTCTTTTATTTTCGTAAGAAATATCTTCTCGACGAGAATAAAGCTTTTTGTTGATTGTATTTGTTTGTTCATTGTAAATTCCGCATTGAATTGACGATTATTTATGTGATATATTTCTGTGCGACACTTAGTAATGTGAAGTAAGATGTCTTACACTATAAATAGATTGAGCCGCAGTTAGTTTGATGAATTGTCTGTTTGTGATGGTTGATCAGACATATTGACGAATAATTTAGCGAAAATGGGCAGAAGAGAAGAGCCCGCCTGGGCCAGCGGCACTGTAGGGCTGCTGGCTTCGAGGGAACGTGGGGAAGTGGATAGAAAGTTTCAAAGTCGGCTTACAGTGACCCGACCTATGATCGACAGATTGGGACTAGAGAAGGAACTCCATGGGCATATGGGATGTGTTAATTGCCTGGAGTGGAACCACGATGGATCGTAAGTGATACAAAGTGATCATTTATCTGTTTTCTACCTGCAGATAGTACAACATAAGTGGTTAATATTCTAGGATCCTGGCATCAGCTTCTGACGACCTCCACGTTATGCTGTGGGATCCCTTCCGCTACAAAGAGCTTATGAACATAGCAACAGGGCACACTGGGAACATATTTTCTGTAAAGGTGAGGCTATATCATCAATATGACTTACTAGCTGAACAGAAGTAAACAGGAAAGAACCCCAAGACAAGTGTTTCAGTTCATTAGTTTCTCAAACCAAGATATAACCATTGAACTCAACTACATACCTTAAGCGACACTGAGAACTGTAACATGATCATGCAACATTACAATAATGGGCTAAAGAATTAATTAGGACCTAATTTCTGTTCCAAAATAGGCCAGGTCAGGTACAGCTTATCACTACAGGATGACCATGCATAACATTAATTATTATAACTGTCACAAAAGTGGAGTAATAATATAAAGTAATACAAATATATTACTATTGTTTGATTACATGAATAGGTATTATGTCCAAAATGGATTCAGATTTTTTTTTAAAATCAGCTATTGTGATTGGATTGGACAATTAGTGATATGCCTAAAATATAATGATTTTTTTATGACAGATTAGTCAGCTTTTTTCTAAACAAAAATAAATGTAGGTATTTGTTGTAGGTAGGTATATTGATTACTGATAAAAAATACAGTACATAGTTTGTATTTTTAGTAGGGCAAATATAATTTGCATGTTAAGTTGTCATTAGAAAGATCTAGTTATTTCCACAGATTATAAATGATAGCAAGTCATGCTTTATAATTTTTATGGAAATGGAGATTTGCTACTTGCTATTGACATCAGTAACTATGAATGAATATTACTGATAATATAATAATATAATAAAATACTGTAAATTGATCTTATAGTACTAAGACCTTTCTGTAATCTTATTCCTAAAAAATGATATAATGAGTCTTTACTCATGTTGGTTTTTCCCCATTTTTTTTACATAGTTAAGCAATAATTAACTTTGTTGTGATGATATTAAAGTATTGTTTACATACCTTTCATGATAACCTATAATGATTCATTGTGTTGTGACACATGTTGTGGTCAAAGGTTCAAAACTACAGTGGAGTTTTCTTTTTTTCTTTTTAAGAGAATATTTTGGGTCCCATATACATACTTAGCAAATGCCAAATGAATACCCTTTTGGCTCCATGTACATTTATCTGTATAATTATGTAAAAATGAATCCTGGTACCCATTGTTATAGGATCAAGAGTGTATGAATAGACCAATCCTGATTATTGTCTTCATACTTATTGTATTTTTGCTAATCTTAAATTTTGCTAATAAATAAATAAAAATGTTCAAGAGTAGTTAGAAAATATAGAATCCTTTTTGGGGCAATATCCTCTGACTTCTCCTTTAGGTGAGGCAATAAAACCACCCGATCTGCTTTGGGTCAGTGGCTTGTAAACCTTTTACTGACATAGTAATTAGATGAGATCATCAGGGACTTTTTTAACATATCATTACTCATGACACACCATTTCAGTTAATGTTGTGAGGATTCATAATAATTTAGTAGTTGTATAATAATTTAATTTTATTCATCTTAAGTTAGGTAGTTTATAGACTAATTGTATCATGAATTATGTGGGTAGTATGGTGCTAATGACAGCATTTCTTATAAGATTTATATTTGTATTTACTAGCTTTCCTCCTCATTTCACCCACATGTTTGCCTTTCCGTGACAATAGTCCACTTGCCGCGTTTGACGAGACATTATTTGTTAAAAATATGATATTAAGCACTTTGTTAGAACTGCTAAAAATGAGGTTTGTTTTTTTTTAATGTTGCCCCACATTTAAGTATGTTACCTTTTGACTTGGTACCTATGATATCAGTCACTTTTATTTTCAAAATTTATAATTAATCAAAAACGGAGACTGATGAGCACGATCGAAAAATTTTGCCCAGCAGGCGGGACATTATAGGCTAGCAAAAAAACAAACAAAATTGATAAACTTTATTATGTCCTAGTAAATATTAACAGCTTTATAAGATTTGCATTAAATATTTCTCTAACATCATCCTTATTATTCCGTACAGTTTCTCTCCCCTGACGTGATCGCAACATGCGCGGCGGACGGCACGGTCCGCGCGCGCAGCGTCAACTCGAACGCGCCGCTCCTCGAGTGCGTGTGCCACTGCGCGCGAGTCAAGCGTCTCGCCACCGCGCCCGACAACCCGCATCTCCTATGGTCTGCAGGAGAAGATGGACTTGTGTTGTAAGTAACCAGTCTTCCAGTCTATACATTGCAATGGTCTTCTGGTAAAGGCAACTAATACAACACTAGAAGATACATTGGACATGATATAATAACATGGAGAAAAAGAAAATGGCTATAGTCAAGTCATAGCCATAATGCAAGAGCAAATTACTTATACAGGTTTGTCAATTCGTAAGTTTCCTTTCGGGATCGAGTAAAATTATATTGGAAAAGTTTTATTTAAATTTCCATATTCTTAAACAGACCAATTTTCTTGCGTGTCTATATTTAATTAAAAATCGTTTACATAATACTGCGGATTTTTGCTTTAAACGAAACAAATGCACAAAATTCTTTAAGTAAAAACTTTTCAACTTTATTTCAACGTAAGGTTTAAACTTACAAAACTCTTGTCTCCAGACAACACGACCTCCGCATGTCACATAGCTGTAATCCGGACTCTGCGAATGTGTTGGTGAACTTACTGAACCACTTGGGGCGGTACGCGGAGGCTAAATGTGTTGCCGTCAACCCTCGCCGGCCCTACCAGCTCGCAGTCGGAGCTAACGACTTCTACGTACGCCTGTACGACACTAGGATGATCAAATTGGCTAGATTACAGGTAATTATTCAATGTATACTTTTAAGGTGAAATGGTCATTTCACTTGTCTCACACAATACTGGTATGAAATAACGCATGCGTTGTGCTTCGCCGCTCCACTTTAATTCCCAAATTCGAAAACCTTACCACTAAAAACCTATAAAAAGCTGGCAACGCACAACTAGCGTAGCTGATTTGGTGTTGCGGGTACTCTGAAGTTTTTTTCTATACTTACTTACTTACTAATATTATAAAGAGGTAAAATTTGTAAGTTTGTATGTAGGACGGTAATCTTTGGAACTGCTTGTCGGATTGCTAAAATTCTTTCACTGACAGATAGCTACAATGTTCCTGAGTGCTATAGGCTATAAAACATCACGCTACGATCAAATGGAGCCGAGCAGCAGGTGAAACTGAGCGAGAGTAGCTAGTTTTAAAGAAGCAAAATATTGTTATAACTTAACCGATGGAGTAATAGATTTCTGATTTCTATATCCACTCATATCATCCCGCTTATATAAGCAATAGAAGTAAATGTAAGTGTATGTCCCCGCAGACGAGCGGTCCGTCGCGCCAGATGTGGGAGCGGCAGAACATGCGTTGCTCGCGGGCCGGGCACGGGGACCCCGACAACAACATCCCGCGCGCCGCCGTACACTACTTCGCGCCCGGTATCATATACTTACTTTAAATCAAGTTTTTTGACTAATACATTCTATAATTGATCAGGTACTGAAAGAGTGATCAATAGTCTGGTCGCAATTGATCAGAAAAAAATATTCAGTTATGTAACTGGCTGACTTTTTCTGATCAATTGGGTAGTTTCCTAGGTCAAAAATAAATTAATTCGATGTTTCAATACAATAAAATATTGAAAAATAACTATACTTTTATTCATCGATCGATTGATACACCAAGTTTTAGATTTTTTTTAGCTAATTATTGTGAAATAAGTAAGCTACTTGACGCAAAAATGTTATGACGTCATAGCTCAGTTTTTCATACAATTTTCATAGAAAAGTATCGTTTTTGACGTTTGGATAAAAGTATTGAAGTTGACTAGTTGGAAACTACCGTATTGTGACTGTAAATTTGACTGAACGACAATAAATTACTGGTTGTTAACTGACTGACTATTACTCACTGACACTGGCTGACTGACTTTGCCTAATTTATTGACTGACTGTGGCTGACTAACGGACTGTGACTAACTATGATATTAAACTATGTTTTTATAATATATTGACTTAATATTTTGAACAATATATTTTTATAAATACTTTGCGTTTACAGGTCACCTATCAATGGAGCCGAACGAGCACACTTTCCCTAAGAAAGCGACGACATATGTAGCTTTCAGTAATGATGGGAATGAACTACTTGTTAACCTCGGCTCTGAACAGGTAAACATTTTGTTATAATGTTATACAAGGTACCTTATATTAAGGATTTGTGTCAATGCATATGATCGGATCTCGTGGTGGCAAGTTCAAAACCCGGCAACTACCAATGTGACCTTTTCCGAGTTATACGTACTTTCTATGATTATTTAGACACCACTGACAGACGGTGAAGGAAAACATCGTGAGAAACCAGGAATAATAATTTCTAATTATAAGTTTGAAATCGGCAATCCGCCTCGAGCAAGCGTGGTGATTAATGCTCAAAGCTTCTCCTTGTGAGAAAAGGCCTTTGCTCGGCAGTGGGCACTTATAGGTATAGTGAATAACGTGACAAGCCCTACATCATACAAATGGAGTTTGTTTGGTAATAAACATATAGAAAATCCTAAAGTAAACTGTTGAGCAGTAGGCCGTCGGGATGATCACCTCGTCCTCGCCTACTCGGAGGATCCTCCTTTTCTGATCTTAGGGAACTTTATTCTCTATCTCCTAAAGATTATGTCTTTAAAACTTTAATTTACCTTCACCTTTTTGTGAAGGGAAAATTATCAGCTGACTTCTCTCCAGAGTCCAGACTCTTACTGACTAAAACCGTTCCTTTTCCTGCTCTAGCTCTAGGTCGAGGCCGTGGTGGGCCTAAGTTGAATATCTTCTAATTATTTTCTATCTTTGTTCGGCCGACGACCCAAATAGACTTATTAACATAAAAAAAGCATGTCACGAGTGTTTTTCTTAAAAAAAAATAAGACCTTTGTTTCGTAGTGACAAAGTTTATATAAGAAACAACGAATTTTATAGAACCAAGAATTTACTTGCTTGTAATTTTCTTCTTTTATTTTTATCTTTTTTCTTCCAGATATATATTTTCGATATAAACTCAGCGCGGCGGCCTGTCCTGGTAGAGAGCTTCATCATCCAGCACAACCACGGGAACCGAACCTCGGACGCCAAGCAGCCGCTGAGGAATGGCACCAACGGTACCACTCCCCCCCCTCAGCCGCCCCCACCACAGCTACCGGACCGCGTCAGGCAGCTTAAAGAAATGGTGAGTCTACCAGGTCTACCACGTGAACACGAGTAAAGGTCTCCTGACTGTTTCTCTTGATTTTCTTTTTGATTTCATTTGCTGGCGCTTTCTTTATGATTCTGCCAAGTTTTACAAAGAAAGCAGTAAATATTTGGTGGGCTTGTCCGACTTAATAAAAGTTTGATATTTCTAATTTACCTTGTACTAGCGTGTTGATTCATGTTCAAATGGCCAAAAGGGCTTTGCTCAGCAGTGGACACTTGTAGGCTTGTGATAATAATCATCAGCCTATATTGTCTTTTTCTTCATTTACTGTTTAACGAGGTGATCCGACTAGTTTCAAGCCGCACTAGGAACTATGCGGTATTAATATTTATAACTTAGTAGTATTGTGCGAAAAATGGCAGGAATTTCGCGATGCCAACTACGTAATTTTCTTTTTAGAAAAAAATAGTGTTTATTTTGAGTCATTAGAACAGATATCTATTATCACATTGTACTGCTGTTCCAGGCGAATGACTTCGTGAACAAGGGCAACTACCCGACGGCGGTGGAGTTCTACAACGAGGCGATAGCGCTGTGCCCGGACTGCGCCATACTCTACTCCAACCGCGCCGCCGCGCTCATGAGGCGGGGCTGGTCTGTACATAATACTTATAACACATACATAATTATTGGATAAGAGATCTCTTTTTACACTATCTATTCTGCCAGTTGAAGTTCCTATTGGAAAATGTATGATGTATCGTCGTCTTTCAGAGGTTTGACCATTATTGTCAAGTGAGCTATAAGAAAAATGTTGGAGTTGTTGACTCATCATATTTTTTATTTTTTCCTATTCTAGCTAACTCTCGCTCGGTTTCACCCGCTGTAGCGGTTCCAAAGATCTCCCTCAATATAAACATACAAATCTTTACAATCAACCTGGTAAAGCAATCAACCTGGAATTTGGTCACATCAAGAAATTTTTTTTTTCTTCCAAGCCCTTGATAGCAATTACCTCTTATATTCCAGGTCAGGCGACACGTACGCCGCGATAAAAGACTGTTACAAGGCTATAAAGCTAGATGCTTCCCACGTGAAGTCTCACTTCCGATTGGCCAAAGGTCTGATGGACTTGAAGAGGGCTCGGGAGGCCCACGAGTGCCTCCTGTACTTCAAGGACAAGTTCCCGAGGCATGCCACTAGTCACGCCGTGTTTTTGCTGCAGAAGGACATTAATGTAGCCTTGGAGAGCATGGAGACTACGCCCGATGAAGGTAGCGTGGTATATTCTGATTGATGAGGGTCTGTTATTATTATTATTTTCAATGAAAAAGATCCTTAAGATTAACTGTATTATGATTAACATAGTAAATATTATGTACCTACTGTATATTTTACAGATAGTAAAAGAATTGGTTAATTAGGTATTATAAGATTTTAATTTTGAATTTAAATGAATAGGAGGTTTTAGTGTTCTTTGCCGATCCAGAGGAATTTTATTTATTTATTAAGCTTCTCTATTTCTATACTATGTAAAAAAACTGATATTGAGTTTTTGAATGTCAGAATTCTTACTTGTTGTAACATAAATCATTTCTGCTTTTTCACTTTTTGATCTTCATTTGTCATTGAAGATGAAGCTATACACCTTGTATAGCTTCATCCTGTGTATGCCCGCGCCCGGAAGATTCACTTTTTAACACGTCATGGTAGGCCCTCTGATGTTCGTTAGGTTCATATGCCTTTTAACCCGCGGTATGCCGGAGCGCGGATCCACGCGAGACAAAATGTATTTTCTATTGTTTGTCATATACCGGCAGACAAGAAGTTAAGTGCCATCCCCATCTCGGCATAGTAAAGTAAGTGAGTTGTATTCCCGGGCTCAGCAGCCGCGGAGTCGGAGGACAGCCAGCCCACGTCCCTCCTGGAGCGCCAGCTGAGGGGCGCAGCCCTAGACTACTCGCAGAGACTCCTCGGACACTGCAACACTACTACCGACATCAAAGAGGCCAACTTCCTCGGACCCGATGCCAACTACATCGCGGCCGGGTATGTATAGGAAGTTTAAGAGAATTATACGTTTGGTATCAAAACCAGGGTGTAAAAGAGCCATGCTTCGGCATGCATGGGTCGACTCGACGGGAGTAATATAACGGCTTTACTGGAAACCGGCGTGAAGCAATACTTAAGTTATCTTTAGTCGTGTGAGTAAGATTCCCGGAGGCCCAATCCTCCCACCCTGTCCCTCCATCTATCCCCAAAACTGCTATCCGTAAATTCCTAACAACTCCACAACACTCGTAGAGACTCCTTTGTTGATTGTGCAAGGGCGGCGACGATCGCTTAACATCAGGTAATTTGTCCTTTGCCGAACGAACGTTGGAAGAAACGTCGGTAAACAAGTTTTTTTTTTCAGTTATATCTTAGTTCAAGGATTGTAAATAATGCAGCTAAACAGTTTTACTGAAACTTATAACGATTACTCCTTTCATTCTGTGAATTTTTATAAGTTCTGCTTTATACAAACACAAATAAATTATTATTACTATATTGGGTAAGCTTAAAAACGTTTCCCTAATGGCTCTTCTCACCCTGGATGGGGTAAGAGGGAGTATCAAACTTATTGATTAATAAACACCCTGTTCCTGCTCCGGAACGAGGCCTCGGTACTTTCTTCGCAACTCCGGCCAGGATCTATCTTTTGTTTTATTTCGTGTCGGGATCCAAGAAAGTCCTTCATGTCGGATGTTCGGACTTCATGGTTGTATCTACGAGTTTTAGGAGGTTGCGGCGGGCTTGTCCCAAAAAACCTTGGCCAGGGTCTTAAGAAAGTCTATATCTATGTTGATAATGCATTGAATAGTAACTACATAAATATCCCACCTCGCAGATCGGACGACGGCAGCCTGTTCATCTGGTGCCGTAAGTCTGGCAATATAATCCGCTGCCTGCGCGGGGATGACTCCATCCTGAACTGCATCCAGCTGCATCCCTCCATGTTCCTGCTCGCCACCAGTGGCATCGAGACCGTCGTACGGCTCTGGAGTCCACGCCCTGAGGTATACTTCCCTTTTTTAGCATTTTTTGGCTAGTTTCTTCAGTAAATATTTCAACGTAATAAAAATAGCGAAAAATAATCACATTTGCATCAATTAATTTGATGATATATCTACTTTATATTCGTATTTTTATTGATAGTTCAAGAGAAATAAGTATCCTATTTGACGTTAAGATATTATGACGTCACAATGTGCAAGTTTATACAAGATCAAATAGAAGTTTTATAACATTTCGAAAAAAGTATTTAATTTGACTAGTTGGAAACTAGCATACTGTCTGTCTGTGTTCAATCAAAGAAACAAACGAACTCTCCAGCCTTATCATATGAAGCAAGTGATAGTAACGGTGAAACGCGGTGAATATAATTCGACGGGTGAATAGACACTAGAAAAATCTATTCACCCCTTTTCTGTATCCATTTACCCCTCAATAAATGCTATGTATTAATCGTATACAGGATGGCAAAGAAGAGAGCCGCATCATCCGTGACTCTGGGTCTGCGGCGCAGGCCAACCAGCAGCGCATGCGCAGCGACCCCTTCGAGGCCATGCTGCTTAACATCAGCTTCGCCAGCGGGAACGTCGATAGGGACCTGCACTCCCCTGCTTGCAGGCCTACCTAGGTAACGCACTACTACTCACACATTCATCCTTAAAAATCAAATTAATCACAACTCTTTATCCTCCCCCTATCCCCACCCCCAATCTCCAAAAACTCGGCAACACGTTTTTAATAGCGTAGGTCGATCGAGCAAGGTCAAGCGAGCAGACGGTTTGTAATGGACTCCCGAAAGTAGTTACGAGTGCGTTGCCGGCTTTTTAGGGATTAGGGATTTGTACTCCAAAGAAGTTCTTTGGTGTTGTGGGAAATATGGGTGCTGATTGCTTACCATCAGTTGTCCATCTGCTCGTTTGCCGACCGTTGCTGATGACTACGTATGTTTGTAAATGCACCCACGACGGGCGATGTTCTAAGTTGTAATTTGTCGATATCATTCATCATTCTTAAGATCTCCATATAAATGCCTGATGAATGCATAAGTTTTATTTATATTCAAGTTGGTTTAAAGAAATTTCTACTGCCATATCATATGTAAACACGTAAATAAACTTGTTTTTATTAAATATAACGACTTACTCCCGTAAATGAACTAAGAAAAGCTCAACTAGTTTCAAGTCACAGCGGGACTCTTATACATGAGCAGCTAACGCGACGCGACGAGTAGAGCTTATTCTCAGTTTAGTACAATATAATTACTATTCAAAAATGTAAATTAACATAACTTTTTGTTTACAGGTAACACAACAAAGTAAATTATTAATAAAATATTCATAGGCGTTGTAGAAACGCAGTCGTTAAGCGCATTGTAATCATCACTACGAGTCATTTGTAAATAGTAACTATTATATACATTATTATATATAAATAACAATACGGTGTTATCATTCTTTTACACCTTTTTTTACTTTCCAACGTTCTGTACTATATACTAGAGATAAAAATATTTTTCTAACAAATTAGTCGGGACTCGGGATACGAGTAGACATTTTGAACTCTGTTTCTTAATAATAAGGGTCGCTTTCGCGTGATATCTAATTGAGAAACGTGTGATACTAATTGGTGTTTTAGTGGAAATGCCTTAGGCTTTGTAAACGAGATATGCGTTATTCCAAATGCACAATTTTCTATGGACACACACACATGAACAAAGAGTACACTAAAATTAGTGTACTCTTTGTTCTTTTCATCCTCTTTTATGTCTGGAGAGTCTCTTTTATGTCTTGTTGACTACACAAAGGCTCATGACGATAATATTTAGATAATTTATAGAATCAGGCGTTACTTTGCGGAAATCCATGACATTAAATGTTAGGGAAAATATTTAGTTTTAATTCCGCGACAAAAATCCAGGCTTGTTGCAGGATGCAATCCCACTCCTATGCAATCATGCATATGCACATGCAGCAAGGGTCCCACCCTCCCGCCCACATGCATATGCACACATACACAAAACGGAAAAACATGCCACGCAATCAAACCTATACTCTTACGAGTATAGGTTTGATTGCGTGGCATGTTTTCAAACCTATACTCTTAAGTATAGGTTTGATTGCGTGGCATGTTTTCAAACCTATACTCTTACGAGTATAGGTTTGATTGCGTGGCATGTTTTTCCGTTTTGTGTATGTGTGCATATGCATGTGGGCGGGAGGGTGGGACCCTTGCTGCATGTGCATATGCATGATTGCATAGGAGTGGGATTGCATCCTGCAACAAGCCTGGATTTTTGTCGCGGAATTAAAACTAAATATTTTCCCTAACATTTAATTGATAATATTTAGTCTAATGTAACAGACATTAAACAGTAAAACTGTTAAAAAAATTACAAGTAATAACATTATATGGCTTTTTATTCGAGTTATCGTCGATATCTTGCAACTCTCTAAGCCTTATCTGCGTGTCCTGTTTTCTCTATCTCTCTCTCTCTTTCTTTTTGATCTCCTTCCTTCTCAAGTTAACTAGAAGACCTTTCAATGATCCTGCAATGTTATCAAATGTAAATAAATAATAAGTACACAAAACCAAGGCAGTAAAGTTAAGAGAATTGGTGTCGTGAAATAGATTTTTCATAATGAGGAAATGTAGTGGTTTTTCGCTTAATTGTACCTCGGACGCACCTATAGAAAGGCTAGATCCCATTATTAATAGACCTCGCATTAAACAGACTTTGTATGTTGTGACAGATCAACATTGATTGGAAACGTGCCCAAAATGCCGTGAAACAAATACATAGCAATGGATTAGTGCCTTTATTTAATAGGACCTTAGGTCTAAATCAGTGTTTAAATGTATACATATTGCTCAACCCATAAATAACTCTAGTATGTAGTACAAACGTCAATAAGGTTCATTTTCGTGTGCAAAGTATCGAGGTGCCAAGTGGTTTTGTTATTTTATCATAATTTTTTATGATTTTTGTACCGATGTCAATTCTGGGGTCGCTATAATAACAGGAAAATTGTTGAAATTTTTGTTGTATTGCGTTTGAAATAGATGGTCGCTAAGGAAGATATAGGATTACGCAGATATTTTGTATTTTATAATGTTGGAAGAGAGTAGTGAACTTATATTGGAGTATATAATATATTTTGTCATAGCTTTAGTTACAAGAACTGATATATAATCATGAGGTCGTAGCCATAATTATGATTTGCTATATCATACGTGGGTTGCGGTGTGCGGCACTGTTTCCATTGCATCGTCACGTGACGTGACGTAACGTCCGTCATAAAAAGGCAGATGGATAAATAAACGTTTTAAAGTGCGTTTTTTCATTTATTGTATATTCTTGACGTAGCTGAATGCTACTTTAAATTCTCCAATTTTTCAGGGTGTTATGAAATAATGTACAAAGTTTCTAAAGGGCTTATATCATTTGTAATGTTAACATCAACATGTCCGTTTTAGGTGTTATTTTCTTAGAAATACTATTTGCTTAATTTAAAGGTTTCTATTTCCGTTATTTCGAATTTATTCAGAGAACAACTCATCAATAATGTTTCTTCTTTTGGTAACGGTACAGGTACCTAAAAGGTTGCACTATACAACGTCTATTTATCCCTGCCAAAAACTAATTACTTCCAGTTTTTCTTAAACTTAATTAAAATATATTATTAAGCATTCAATTTTTTTATGAAACATTTGTATATAATAAAATAATACCACCAATTAATCTGATGATAGCGACAATATCCGTATAGTTTTATCAATAAAACATTTTTTATTATTTATAATATAGGTTCTTAATTATATAAATGTCTACTCGATCCAGATTATTTGGTGGTATACACAAAGAAAATATTTTGCAAAATGTCGTGACGGATGAAAAGATACAATGGAAACAGTGTTCTAAAAAAATACTGGCAAATGAATGGATTTCACAACGGTGCCGAGGGCTGTTTACTGGTAGTGAGATAATAGAAGTATCTATAATTTTAATAAAACAAGTCATTCATAATCATTTTGTTTGTTTAATCACCTTTGTGCTGTTTTTCACCCCATTATAGGTTTATGTGTTTCAACGTGTAATATAGGGAATATTTTAGTTTCCAAGGACAAAAATACGTTATAACTTTTTAAAATGAATTATTATAATACACTATCTTTTTACCGCGACTTGTTCGCGTGGATTAGTGACTTCCTGCAGATTTTTGGTTTAAAAACTATCCTATGTCCTTTCTCGAGTTCCAACCTATGTATGTCTGTATCAAATACACATAAATAGGTTCAGTAGTTTAGGCGTGAAGAATATATAGACAGACAGTTACTTTCGCATTTCTAATATTAGTTTGGATAATAATACTTTTATTAATATGACGAAGATACCTACTCAATTATGTTCAAAAAATCAAACGTCATGACGTATATGTTGCGATTCCATATATTTCAATAAAAATCTATACTTTGACTGGTTGGAAATAAACGGATTTAGACTATGTATTCATAAAACTCATAGAACATCACTCACATCCAATAGAAATGCACCTCTTGAGTTTAGATTGAGGAGCCATATTAATAGCATAATTAATAGCGATTTTCTTCCATTTTAGCGCAACAGAAGCTTAATTTTTAGATGATAATAATTTCCAAAATTGTTGATATTTATCTACTAGCTTTTTCCCGCGACTTCATTCGCGTGAAATAGTGATTTGCTGCAGATTTTTGATGTAAAAACTATCCTATGTCCTTTCTAGAGTTCCAAACTATGGGAAATCACTATTACCTTACCAACCTACCTTTACCAAATTTCACACAAATCAGTTCAGTAGTTTAGGCGTGAAGAAAAGACAGACAAAGAGTCATTTTCGCATTTATAATATTAGTTGGGATTACGTAACCAGTTCCAGGTTGCTCCACAATTCAGATGTTGAGATTGAGGAGCCATTTTTGCATCAAAATAAAAAGTGATATATTTAGCTGCTAAATATAGAATTCCTGCTGCAAAATATTTGCTGCAATTCTTAGGAACATTATTTAGATTGGAAGATCAAGCAAACCAGGTAAGATTTATAGTTGCTGGCTTATTCTTGCAGAGAAGATAATTATAGTAAGTAATGGTAGCAACAATAACTACTATAGGACCATACCACTACTGCTGATGTACACAGTAACCATACAGTATGGTGAATAATAGTGGTTGCTGAGCAATAAGCTTACTTATCCTGAGGTTTAAAAGGCAACCTGAGGTTAGGTTACAATATTTTTTTAATTAATAAATCAAAAACTGTCCATTTGAGAAGTTATTGCTTGCACTTGTTGCACCGTATAGATTACTCACATAGATTGCCAACGATATCCAACAGATGGCGTAACACCGCACAAGTGAAGTTTGCGCGCTAAACGCACGAATAGAAAAACCCAACGTGCAACTGTTCGGCAGAAGCCCGCCAGGCAGATCACCTCCCCGGATCGGAGGATCCTCCTTTTCCGATATTAGGGAACTCTGCTCTCTGTTCCCTCAACACTATATACCTAACATATCTTTCTGTGATATAAAAATTTTGAAACGACTGAATTGATATTTCTAATCCTGTTTTGTTGTGTTTCTTATTGTCAGGAAAAGGTACTTATAGGTATAGGAACTTATCGAAAAACAGTGGACCTCGTCGTTCATCCTTAGCGAGGTGGTTCGAGACCCGTGTCGAAGAAGGATGGGCCACTACATGAATTAGGTAGGTTACCTACGAGTATATTATGTGGTATGTGTCTAAGATTTACCTAAATGATGATGAGTGTAGTCGACTAAAGTCTATAGCCGTTCGGGAAGCCAGAATGAAAAATTCCTCCAATAGACGTATAGGAATTGCGTGTGCAGGAGTAGCGCCGATCACTTACCATCACATGATACTGACGCGTAACGTATCCCTATTATAGGCCGAAGATTTTTTTTTTTGTATTTTCAACTCGCTAATCTTCAGAAAGACGTACTGGTTTGAATTGAAGAATTCTTTTTGTGTTTGTTAGTACATAACTCTTTTTAATCGACCAAGTTTAAAATCGGAATCATTTTACCCTGTTCAAAATTGGTGCACGGTGTTTACAGCCATGAACAAGATTGAAAGAGTTGGGAACTCTTTAGTTTAAGCCTGTTCGAGGGAGGCTAGGCTATAAAACATCACGCTATGACCAATAGCAGAAGAGAAACGGGAATACAGCGCTGGAGGAGCTAGTAAAAAATAAAACTAGAGAATAGATGATTTAGGTCAATATACGGTATGTAAATACATTTTTAAACCATCCCTGCTCTTGCTGTGTGTCATAAGATCCCTTTAATCTATCAAAATATGCTGGTAAGCGCATAACTCAATAAAGCCTGGACCAATTCTACTGATTCTTTTTTTGTTATGTGTATTGTCAGGAGATGGTTCTTATTAAAGAAAATTTTGATAAGTAGAGGGTAGAGTTGGGTAATAGGGACCCTTTCATCGTAAGAGAGATTATGAGACCCGTGCGAAACAGGGGCGAGCTGCTAGTTTATATAACAATTGCCTATTTAACAGAGACAGTAGCGTCCAGTGATGTACCTGAACTTTTTAAACTGCGACCTTCAAACCACCTGGCGAGCGAGGAGATCAAGGCCTGATAGGTGAGTACCTATAGCTATGCGAAATGGATCTGCGGCCAGCGAGC